GCAGTTGATCATTTGACTTTCTTCGAACTGAACTGAACCGAACCGAAGAAATAATTGGTACGATTCTGGAGATTTCACAAATATCTGTATCGATAATCGAGTTGAACCATCATATACAGCACCGAACCGGAGAACCGAAATTAAAAATTGGATTATAATGTGTGTTATTATATATTTTATGTCAACTCTGATCCTATATAATTTGAGAATTTTTTAAAATGCAAATAAAATATAGTAACAACAACTAAGCTTCACTTAAATTTCATGCTTAATAATACTTGATCTACAATTGAATTTTTCATGTTATAAAATATTTATTTAACATGGTATGAAAGGTTAAAGAAATGTTTAAAAAAAATTAAACTTTACCTAAATTTATCGAATTGCCGAAAATTGGAATAATTTAAGTAGGCGTGGGTATTTACAAAAAATATTTAACTAGAATGATTAAATAAGTAGGACATCTAAATAATCTTAAAGAACTTAATAACTTAGTCGAGCTTAAAAGAATAATTGCAATGCAAGACGTCTCTTGTAAAAGAACGGGGCACTACACAACCTAATTGAGCAGACCGAGCGTGTGAATCTACTATGTAGACTAACCTATTTTTCTTGATCCTTAATCTGCTAGTGCATTAAACTAGAGAGTGTGTTCAAGATTGTACAGTAGTTAGGTTTAACTGAAAAGCGTGTTTCGGCTAAATATACTGTAAGGTAATATTCGGGTAGCAGGGCATGTTGTTACATAGAGCTAGTAATTTCAGAAGATATTGCAACTTGACTTTACAAATAGTTAGACTAGTCAAGCGAGGACCTAGGCAGCACCGTGAACTAGATTTTTCTTTATATATTCGTTTTGATTTTCTTTTCTTTTATTTATATTATTATATCGTTTTAATTAGTTTAGCTACTAAATCTAATCTCCCACTCTTTTGTCGTTTTTTATAATTTCAATTATTACGAGAAATTCATGATTTAAATGACACTCCTTGTGAGATTGACCCTTACTCTCTACTACTACTATTAATAAAGGTTAGTTAAGAAAAATATAAATTCTAATTTGTCACGTCGCCACGCCCGATCAAATTATGACGTTGTCGGGGAGTGGCGTTATTCATTGTGTTTTTGAGTACTAATTGATTTTTTTTAGAGTTTTATTTTTATTCTATTTTACCCCACTCATTTTTCTAGTTTATTTATTTTATTTTATTTTTCTTGCAGAGTCTAGACGCCCCATACTCGTTGGAGTAACTGTCTTTAGGCGATTTAGCAAGCCTAGGGCAATTGTTTGAAAATGACAATCTATTATCATAGTTTTACACCCAGCAGGAACCTTATCATTATGAGAGAGAGGCACGAGGTCCTTGGATTAAAAATTGGGATGAACGGTTAAGTTCGATTCCTCGGAGAGCAATTGCAAGAGGTCATCAAGTGCGACCGTGTTCTCATTGTCCAACCACGAGGCGTTCCACCTGTAAGTGCCCAATTTTGTTTGATGATTTCTCTGCATACGGAGATGTTAGATAACCTAGTGGTCGGCAAAAAGACGAGCAAGACACCATATATTCTGAGGAGAATAAATATGGATTGAGAGAGTACTCAAACTCTTTCCATGGATACTCCGAGCCATTAGTTGAGAGAGATCCTGAATCATCGCTCGAGGATATGATGAAGGCATTGACGTTAAATATGTTGAAAATCAATAAGGTTTTAAGAGGTCCTAAAAGATACGAATGCTCGCATAAGGAATTTACAAGGCCAAATCGACCAATTGCCGGAACAAATGGATCGACTAGCATTTTAGCTCAAAATGAGTCCAATGAGTTTGAGTATCATCCATGCATGCAGCAAGGACCTCGAGGGACCTGGAGAGTGCGTGTACGAGCTGGAGAACGAATAAATCAAGAATGATGACCAAATGTAGCCAAACAGCCCAATATCGGGGTGCCCCATACTTGACCTGATGTTGCCAAAAAACGTATCGTTCTTCTCGCTCTTATGCCATCCATGATGAAATGGGTACTGAGAAAGGATGCGTTGAAGCATGTCTTAGGCCTTACTATCCCTTCTCTTGAGACAATCAAGCAAAACGTGAGGCGCAAATGAGAACTTGAATGGTGACCGTGGATGAGTACGGGCTGACCTATATCCATGAAGAATTAGCGCCATGGAGAAAAAAATCTGGTGAAGCATCCAACGCCACGAAGTTGGAATTTCGCCGAAGATGATGTCGTGAGATTTGTGGCTCCTATGAGGCCACCTTGAAAGCCACCATAGATCCTTTCATGAAAAGAAGTAATAAATGAGTCAACGACAATAAAAATAGAGACTTGTTGGGAGGCAAACCAATGGTGTGCATGGTTCAGTCGACTTCCTCCCCACTGACTAAGATGAACTCGTTTATTTTACCTTCGGTTTTGTTCCTTCTTGTTTATTTGAATGTCGATGATATATGCAAATTATCTCTGAGTTAGGGGAGATACTTCTTGGTGAACATTCATGTTTTATTATGTGATTGTAGTTATTCCCCTTAGAGTTTGAGTCTTTAGATTAAATTACATGATATTTGCTTGTCGTGTATGAGCTTCAGATTGCTTGTACGTGAAATTTTGCAACGAAGATGGTTTAGATTTATTCTGCTAATTGAATGACTTGAGTTAATTATATTCGTTTAAATTCTTCAGGTTTCTCTATTTTATGGACAAAGGCATGATGGTTGATATTTTTGTGACTTATTTATTGTAAGTTGGTCATGAACCGATTGTATTCTTGAAATGTGCTGGTGAATATTCTGATCAATATTGACTGTGTTGGTTGACTTGAAGTGGAAATATCGATATTGGATGTCTAAAAAATGTCGAGGTGAAGAGTCTATGGAAGACAAAAAAAAAGGAAAAAAGAAAAAGAATTGTGGGTTGCAATAGTTGTTAGTTTGTGGGAGCTTTAGGACGTAACTCGTGCACGAATAGATAAAATCTACGGGTTGTGATGGAGCTTCCGTACTCAATAAAAAATAGAAATTAAAATAAAAATTAAAAAAAAAAAAGAGAGAGAGAGAAAAAAAGACACACGCAGTAGCCACACAACATCATGAGAGAGAGCAGTCGCACGCACGGACAGAGACGAGAAGAACTCCTTCACCAGTGGAGGGAGGCTATATCAGTACATGAGGAGGATAATTATATTCTTCTCCTATTTAATTAATATTTTAGATTAGTTTTTATTTCTAGTTTTAGGGATGTTAAACCCTACGCACTTGGCTATGTTAATTACTATGATTGATTATTTTGCTAATTTTATATAATTGATTGTGTTATTTTATTTCGATCAATTATGATGTGTTTAATTTTATTTATATTGATCATATAGATAAAAAAAAATTATGTTTTACGCTAGAATTGAACCTTCAATCTGTAATTGTTGTTGAGATTAATTCGTTAGTAGCAAATGATAGATGCAAACTGTTGAGAATAACACAACCTAATTAAGCAGTGTGAGTATACTAATTAGACTAGCCTACGTTCCTAGATGATAAAATTACTACTGCATTAAATCTAAAGAGCATGTCCAAGACTGTCCAATAGTTAGGTTTAATCGGAGAGCGTGTTTCAACTAAATATACTGTAAGGAAAATTTTGGGTAGCAGAGCGTGTTGTTACCCAGGGCTAGTAATTTCAGAAGATAATAAAACTCGACGTCACAAATAGTTAGACTAGTCAAGTGTGGGCATAGAAGGAACCGTGAACTAGCTAGATTTTTCTTTATATATTCATTTTGATTTTCTTTTAGTTTATTTCTATTATTATATTGTTTTTAGTTAATTTAGTTATTAAATCCATCTACCACTCTGTTATCGCATTTTATAATTTCAATTAATATGAATAAAATTCACGATTTGATTCACACTCCTCGTGGGATCGACCCTTCCTCTCCACCACTTTAGTAGGTTAGTCATGAAAAATATAAATTCTAATTTACTGCGTCGCGATGCGCGGTCAGCTATTTTGCCTCTGAAGTCGCTGTCGACCTGGTCTTTCCATGACCTCTAACATCCTTGTTGTCTAATTGATCAGTCGGTTTACTCGATCCAGTAGTCGAACCGTTCTAAGTTGGCAATCGACCTGACTATACTATACTGATATGGGAGTATTCGGCAAAATTACAGAAAAGATACACTAACTTGGATGTTGCCAAGAAAAGAGACATTATGTTGTCCCGCACGGAAAAGAAACATTTAGTTGGCATTTTGGTCAGAAAAAATACACTAATCACCCATGCGGGATAAAAATCTGACGTGACGGGATTAAGTAATGACGTGGCATATAAACTTTCTTTAATTTCCTATGTGTTATATAAATGGTTGATATATATACAAAATTAAAGAAAGTTTATATGCCACGTCATTACTTAATCCCGCCACGTCAGATTTTTATCCTGCAGAGGTGATTAGTGTATCTTTTCCGACCAAAATATCAATTAAATGTCTCTTTTCCGTGCGAGACAACATAATGTCTCTTTTCTTGACAACGCCCAACTTAGTGTATTTTTTTTTGTAATTTTGCCAGGAGTATTCCATAGGAATGATCCATTTTCTTATTTAAAAGTTAGAAAAAAAATGACAAAACAAAAGCTAAAAAACAAATTTTTATCCTTTGTGAGCACAAATAGTATGTATCAAGTGTATTTTGAAAAAAAAAAAAAAAAAAAAAA